GGCACCCTGGAGGGAGCTGAGGAGCCCTAGTGTTTCTGAGGCTGGTGAGCCCCCAGGAGGATGTGAGTTGGGGGAGTGACCCCTGCACCCTGGTTTGGGAAGTAAGGTTCAGGGCAGGGGAAGAAGCGGTCTGGTGGGATTTCCTTTTGCTCTCCATTCTCCTGTTGTCCTCTGTTTTTCCGTGTCTGCCCCTGCCTCCTCCCCTGCGCCTCCCTCTTTCTCCTCCTCAGAAGCTGGAATCTCCCTCTACCTGGCTCAGACGGCCCGGGGCGCTGCCGCCTCTCCGGAGGGCCCTGTCTACAGCACCATTGACCCCGCTGGGGAGGAGCTGCAGACGTTCCACGGGGGCTTCCCCCCAAACTCCTCAGGGGACCCCGGCACCTGGAGCCCGTATGCTCCCCCAGAATGGAGCCAGGGAGACAGCGGTACGACTCCAGTTCCTCGTGCCCCACACTTCCCCTCTGGGACCTAGCCCAGCACCTCTTCTGACAAGGTTCACCTCGGTCTCCTTCCTGCCCAAATCTTGGTGTGCCCCGCCCTACTCTCCTCAGGGCCCAGGGGAGGCAAAGTGAAGCTTCTGGGGAAGCCCGTGCAGATGCCTTCCCTCATCTGGCCAGAAGCCTTGCCACCCCCTCCTCCTTCCTGTGAGCTGAGCGGCCTCGAGGGACCTGAGGAAGAGCTTGAGGGCAAGTAAGGATGCATCCTACTACAGATGCCCTATGTGTGGAGCCGGCCCAGGGCCACCTGCAGGGGGGCAGAGAGTTGGGAGAAGAGGGGGAGTCGTGACAGGAAGGCTGTGCCCACCCTCCTGCCTCTCTTCCCCAGCTCAGAGCCTGGAGAGTGGTGCCCGCCAGTGCCGGAGAGGAGCCGCCTGGCAGAGCCCAGCTCCAGTGGAGGGTGCTTGGTCCCTGCGTCCCGAGGAGAGACGCCTTCTCCCACACCTTCCTATGGACAGCAGTCCACAGCCACTCTGACCCCCTCGCCTCCTGACCCTCCCCAGCCCCTCACTGACATTCCCCACCTGCACCAGGTGCCCAGGTAGGGAGGCCTATAGCACCTTGCCCATTCTAGGCCCTCAGGACATACCTGTTCGGTGGACGGATGGGTGGAGGGTCTGGGCTGCAGAGGTCTCATGGCTGTATGAGGGTGGAAGTGTGGTTCGGGGAGGAACCCGGAGGCTGACGAGGTCTCTCACCCCCTTCGGATGGTTCCTCCGTTGGAGTGACTTTGTGGCTCCAGGAGTGTTCAGAGACATGGCTTCCCTTGTGCTCCGCTAGCCCGGGAGCCCGTGTGGGGCTGGCTCTGTGTCGTTCATCTGGGTATTAGGTGGAGTGTCTAACACAGTGCCTGGCACATAGTAGGCACCTAGTGTTTGTCGAGTGAACACATGCTAAGGCCTTATGTCATTGCAGGAGGGTGCCCCTTGAACCAAGTTCCCCTCTCAGTGGGTCCCAGCCCGCTCTGAATAGCCATGAACTGAGGCCTGTGGGCCTGGCAGCTGGCCCCACAGCCGCCCCACACTTCAGCCCCAGCCCTGTCCCCGGTACAGCCGGCGGCACCCCAGGTGAGTCTGCAGAACCTCAGCTCGTCCTGCTGCCCCTGCCCCAGAGCTCAGAGCTCGTCTTCCCTTCCCCCCAGACCTCCTCTCACTATGCTCCTCTCCCGCCTCCTAATGTCGCAGGGAGGACCCGACAGGTGCCCGGGGAGAGCACTCCTCCACTCCAAGGGCCCCGGGCCCAAATTCGGAAGAAGCCTAAGGCTGTTCCCTACAGGCGGGAGCACAGTCCTGGGGGTGAGGGGGCCATAGGCCTGGGGGATGGTGACAGTGGGGGACACAGGGGAACTGAGGGTGAGCCCTGGAGGCTGGGGGCAGCGGCGGGGGCGGGGGGAGTGGGCCAACTCAAATCTTGGGCTGTTCATTCGCAGCCTCCTGGTGCCCTGGAATGGGGGCGGGCAAGGCCGGTACCAGGGAAGCAGGAGGCTCTGCTGAAACAGGTCTCTCCACAGACTTGCCCCCACCACCCTTGCCGCCGCCGGAGGAAGAGGCGAGCTGGGCCTCAGGGCTGAGGGCAGCAGGCAGCATGTCCTCCTTGGAACGGGAGCACAGTGGGGAGAGAAGAAGGGTGCAGGCGGGGGCCCTGGGGGCCCATCGGGGCCCTCTCCTGGATGGTAAGGAGGGCCACTGCTGTGTAAGAAGGTGGGCTTTAGGACTGGGGGCTGATGGGACAGTGCAGACAGCACCACCTATGGACTGACTCCAGCCCAGCTCACCCCTCACTTTCAGCTGGGCCCCTGAATTTGATCAACACCAAAGACACTTGTCTCTCCAGCTGCCCCCGAGCAGAATCCCCTGAGGTTCCCAAGGACTGAAGCCCCAGTGAGGAAAGAATAGGGGTGGGTGCTCCGTCCCTCCTTTCCCGAGGACGGCGTTCCCTGCAGGGTTCTGAACGCACATTACATCGAGGCCGTGGGCTGGGCACTCTGCTTCTCAGCCCCCACGACGACCTGAGCCCTTCGCCCACCCTCAACTCTTCTCCCAGAGTTGGGGTGGCGGTTGGGGTGGCACAGCGACCTGGTGGTGGCGTTCTGCCCCTGCCCGGGCCCAGCTGCCCTTGTCTCTTGTGCTGCAGAAGAGGCCTGGGCCCCTTACAGCCGACCGAGCTTCCTGTCCCGGGGCCAGGCCGCCAGCACCTGCTCCACTGCTGGCAGCAACTCTTCCAGAGGCTCCAGCAGCTCTCGGGGCTCCCGGGGCCCTGGGCGGAGCCGGAGTCGGAGCCGGAGCCAGAGCCAAAGGCCAGGACGGAAATGCCGAGAGGTGGGGGCTAGGGGTCACAAAACTGGGAGCGGAGGGCTAGGGAGGGTGGACCAGGGAATGACTGGAAAGAGGAAGATGAGGAGGCTTGCAGGATACGAAAAGGAGGGGGCCCAGGGAGTGAGGGACGGGGAATCCTGGAGAACAGTGACAAATGTCAAGGCAAGACGACACATTGTACAGGAGGCTGGGGTCCCATAGAAGTGGATCAGGGGCGAGGCTGATGAGAAAAGAGGCACATCCCCTCTTGGGGCCTGTGTGCTCTGGGCCAGGCCTTGCAGACCAGCCTCTGTCTCTCTCTTCCTCTGTCTCTCTCTCCCCCCGCCCCCTCTCTGTCTCTCTCTTTCTCTAGGAACCAAGATAACCTTTGAGATCACCTTTGATGAGAATACCAGCAGTTCCATGGGGAAAGGCTTGTCCCTGGGCTGGGGGCCTGGATGGCAGCCCCTCCCCTGGTGAACGAGGGGCTGCGGAGAGGAGCAGGGAGGGGTCTCCTCCCTCCCTGCAGTGCAGTGGGGCTCCCTGAACAACTGGCCTAGGAGCCAGAGAGACAGCTCCTTCATCGCCGTCTCTTCCTACCTGAGACCCATTTGCAACAAAGACAATAAAGAGTCTGATGGGAGTTCTGGGCCATTTGTCTGCTTTTTGCAGGATGGGGGGGGGGGGAGGGAGGCGGCCGAGAGGTGGGGGTGGGGGTGTCAGTGCACTACCTCTTGAAGTTCTCTGTCAAAACTCCGCATGAGGACAGGGCTGAGGCCCGACCTGTCCTGCCCCCCAGAGGAGCTGAAGTCACTGTCTCCCCAGTTACAACCAGAGAGACTTTCCAAACGACCAACCAGAAGAGACTTGTCCCGCCCTCGGAGAAAACTGAGCCAGGCCCTCCCTTAGTGCCTCCTCGGGGGGGTGTTCTTCTCTCGTGCAAGGGAATATGCCCCCGTAATAATAATTTTTCACAACTGAAAGGAAGGGGGAGCTGATGAGGAAACCCTGGCCAAGAAGGAAAAACAGGCTTTTCAAACCCCGGCCCCCTCCTCACAGAGGGGGTGTGCAAACAGTCACCTCCTGCCCGATTTGGCCAAGGTGTGATTGGTTTGGCTGGCACAGAATTTTTTAAAACGTTTGGCCATGAATGCCGCAGTCTCTGTCACCCCATCACTTACAGTCAATGCCACTCACTGGTGGGCTGAGGTCTGTTTCCTTCTCGTCTGTTCCACCCGGGCCCGGCAGCCCCCCGGGCTCTCAGGACATCGTCCTGCCCCCTGGGCCCAGGCTCTGACCTTTCCAGCCACTTTGGCCTAAGGGTGTACAAATCCCTTTTCCTCCTGCGGTCTAGCGAATGGGGTTGGAATGTTTTTAAAAGGAATTTTACCAGGAAGCTAAAAGAAAAGCAAAATCCTTAAAAGGAAAAGCAGTGCGAGAGGGAGGATGTGTACGGGCAGCACTGGTCACTGCCCCCATCCCCGGGCCACACCCCTGCAGCCCAGCCTGGCCAGACGGGGCTCCTCCTGGCGGCTCCGCCCCCCTCTCCACCTGGCCCCGCCTGGCCCAGCCTCCAAAACAGAGTGGCCCCCCATAGAGCTTCTGGGGCTTGGGGTGTCATCACCCCTTTCCAATGGACCCTCCTTGAAGGTGTCTTCCCGTGGCCCCGGCCATGTTCAGCACATGCCCCCAACTTGAGAATTCTCTCCTCGACCTTTCCTGCCGAGCGGGGAAGGTGTCACTCCCTGCCCTCAGTGACTTTCCGTGGCTTAGGCCCTGGAGTCCTGCTCCACCATTTCTCCGGTCCGCTGTTTTGGCGGAAGGGTGTTCCCTGGCCAACCGTGACAGTGGTCCCACCTTTTGTGGGATGAGCTCCTTTGCCTCTTTTAAGAAACCATCCAGGACAGGTCTTTGCGGAGGGGCTGGGGCTGCCGAAAGCCGGGGTGCCTTCTCAGGGGAAGTCACTCAGAGGGGCGGACCCTGACAATGCCCCAGCCCTCCCTTTTCTAGAATCTGCTTAAAATTTGATGGGTGACACAATTCTCCCCTTAGTCACACGACAGAGATGAATGACACTCCCAAGTGCCAACGAATGCTCGCTTCCTTTCTAGCACGGGTGGCTCTCCCCGGATCTCCAGGGGCCCTGCCCAGAACGATGCTTGGGGGAAAGAGCTCACAGAACCCAAGTCGTTGCTGTTTTGTAGCATCGATTCCTTAAGCTCACAGTGACAGCAGTGTGGGGAGGGTGTTTCTGTCCCACGTTCCGCGCCCCCCTCCCTTCAGCTCCCTCCCTGGGTCCATCTGGAACCTTGGCCTTGGTGCTGGGTTCCGCCTCGTGGCCTCAGGCGCCCTGCTCTGTATTTCCTCTGCACGGCACGGGGGGAGCAGGGGGCCTGCGTGGGGCAACGGTCCAGGGAGCCTGAGGGGAGGCTTGAGGGGCCCCTTCCTCCCCAAGCTGCCATTGTCCCCCAGAAAGACCCCAGTCCCCCACTTCTTGTGATCCTCGTGGGCGGGAGGTCAGGAGGTGGGCCGCTCCTGACGTCCAGCAGGCGGCTGTGCCATTGGACAGAGGAGAGAAAAGCAAGGGCAGCAGGTGGCGAGAAGTCTCTGCTGCCGCGGGTCCAGGTTGGCTGGGCTGTGATTTTGTGTCGTTTCATTGCATTTCACGATTAAGGAGGGAGAGCTCTCTTGCGGGCCCCTTGGACGGGCTGTGCCCACCTGCAGAGGTGCACAGACTGAGAGCCACAGTCCAGGGCCCAGCTGTCCCTCAGGGTCAGTGGCTGTCAGGAGAGGGAGTTCCGGCTCTCTTCTCGGGGGTCTCGGGGGTCTCGAGGACGTGCCTCAGGAGGAGTCTACAGGAAAATCGAAGGACAGTGGGGTTGTCCCCCTGCACCTGTCTCTCCTGCCACATCCCAGGCTCCCTCGTGGCTCCTCCCCAGAACCACACAAGCCAGGCCGACAGACACTCACTGCCAGCCTCGGGTGCAGGACAGCTGAGATGACTTCTCTGGGGAGACTTCTAAGAGTCAGGCGGCCAGGGAGGCAGCCCCCTCCCCAGTTGCTGGATGTGGTTACTCTCCAAGTCCTCCAGCCAGTCTGACCTCCACTCCCACAGGGGCAGGGAGAGGGTGGGCGTCAGGAAGAGGTCATCCCGGGGGGAGGGAGGTGGTGAGGCACCTGTGGGGGTGGGTAGAAATATTTGTGGAGGGTTGGCCCTCACCCCTGGGAACCAGTTTAGGGCAGAAAGCTTGAGGCCAACTTAAGGCATATACCCAACCCTAAACATAATCTAAACACAACTTGGCCCATCAGTCTCAGCGGCCCGAGCCCTGGGGAGAGCAGGACAGTCGGTTAGTTCGTTTAGAGAGAACATCTCCACCCGGCCCTTTGCCCGTGCTCTCCCTTCACTCCCCCACCCCCCGGCATCCTCTTCTCCCCCCAGATGGGAACTTCTGCCCTAGATACTCCTTGCTCTCTCATTCACCACGAGCCTGGCTGCTTTTCTTGGGGGCGGAGGGTAGAGTTAGGATTCATAGGATGGGTATGGGGTACTGATAGAGCAGGTGAGGACGGGAACACCAGGGGGTGCGGGAAGCCCTAGCTGCCTCTGTTGACATGGAGACGATAGTCCTGCTCTGCTAGACGTGTGAAGGGTCAGCCTGGTTGCCCCCCACCACAGTCACTCCGGGGAGAGTTCTAAGAGTCAAGAAGGTGAGAAGAAGTGCCTGGAAGCACAGCAGAGGTAAGAGAGAAGACAGGACTTCCCACAGCAAGGAGGACTCCGAAACTCTGGGCCAGAGTAGATGAGAGGCTGGGAGCCACATCCCCTGGAGACGCGTGTCTGGGGGAGGAGGAGGGGAATGGGTGATACAACTGGATGCCTCCAGCCTTCAGACTTCACAGCCTGTCTTTGTCCTCATGGGTGACCTTGGGCCTTGTGGGTGACCTCAGGCAAGTTAATGAACCTGTTCGACTTACAATGGCCTCATCTGGAAAAGCATAAAGACTATGCCTCATAAAGGTGTTGTTACTGGATGTATGTAAAGTGCTCATCATAGAGCCTGAGACGCAGTCATCGTTAGCAGAAACTAGCTGTGTCAGGGACCACGACGACAACAACAACGAAGACGGTGAGTAGGAAGCCTGGCCTCTCGGTGGGAAAGGAGGGGGTCTTACAGGAGCTGCGTCCGCTCCAAGGGGTGGGGGTGATCTCACGTACCTGTAAAGACGCAATCTGCTTCCCTGGGCTCTAGACCGAAGCCAAGGCTGTCCACAGCCACCGCCAGGGCCCGGGCGAAGTGGGCATCGGCGAGGAAGGAGCCGTCGGAGGAGCTGACCAGGCTGGCTCTGGCACTGGGGGCGTTGTCCTCGGAGGCCGAGCCCCAGCCATTGGCCAAGGAGCCCTCACTGGGGGTGGGGGTGAGGCAGGGCCGAGGCGGGCACAGCAAGCCCCTCACCTCGGACCCTACCCCTCCTCCATCCCTGCCCATGTCCGCGAGCTCTGATGCTGTGGGAACGCTGATGTACCCATAGGTGCTGGGGGGCGAGGGAGCCCTTGGCATAGGAGAGACAGCGTTCCTAGGAAGAGGCAAAATGGGAGACAGTGGGTAGGGTGGAAACATCCGTCTGAGGAAGGGTGGAACGAGGTGGGGACCATGAGCACCCTCGAATTCTTCTGTTTGTACTCAGGCCACTCACCTGGGCGTCTCCTCACCCTCACTGAGCTCCAGGCACAGGGCCACCTCCTCAGGAGTCAGCACACTGTCCTGATCCTCCCCCAGGGACGACAGTGAAGAGCTGGACAGGCGACTGGAGGTTGGGCTGGGGCCAGAGAGGGGAGAGGCCTGGTGGCCAGAGTGGCGGGCGATACTGGAGGGGACGGGGGCTGCTGGCGGTGGGAAGGAGGGGGGAGCTTGGGGCTCCACCGAGTGCCTGATTGGGGTAAGACAGAGATGGCAGGGCAGTTGGTGCCGTTCTGAGTTCCTGTTCACCCCTCCCCCAGCCCCATCCAAGCTCAGCTAATACTCCCCACCCCTCAACCCCCCTGACCCTGCTTTTTGACCCCATATCCTCTTACTGGGTCTGTTGACTCTGTGTGGGGGGTCCATGAGAAGAGAGGGGTGCTGGCGGGAGAGGGCGAGTCAGCTCGTTGGAGGAGCCGAGGATCTGTGGTCCCAGAGCCCGCCAGGCAACCAGAGCTCGGGGCGCAGCTTCTGGCCACAAGAATGGCAGAACCCCCATCAGCTCCAGACCCCAGCCAGCCCCTGCCTGCCCCTCCTCTCAGCTTCCTGTCCCTACACCCCACCCACCCAGCCTCCTCAAGGACAGGTGAAGCCAGCTGTAAGGGCTGGTGGGCCCTGGCACCCCACCTCACCGCCTCTCTTCCTCTCACCTGGGCTGTGGGACAGGTTCTTGGAGCCTTTGCACCCCACCTCCCAGGCGCAGAGCTCCGCAGGGCGGCCAGTCCGGAGCAGCGGGGAGCTGTTGGCCTGGTGCAGCTCTGCAGAGGGAGAGGCCGCCGTGAGGGTTGAGCCAGGGTGGGCCTCTCAGACCCCGACCACAGGCTCGGTCTTCAGCCCTGTCATTCAGTCAGACTGTAGGGCCCCTGAACTCGGGGAAAAGAGGGAAGAACCTCCTCTACCTTCTCCCCACCCCATGCCCCACTCCAGCCTGGCAGCTGTGACAGAGTGAAAGGAACACTGGGCTTAGAGTCAAAACATGGGCCCTCGTGGTCCCGCTGGGCCACGCACCAGCTGTGTGACCTTCGGTAACTCCATGAACCTTTCTGAGCCTCAGTGTCATTTGTAAACACCCACTTCAAATGATGGCTTTTACCATTAAATAAAAATAGATCGGAGCCCCAGGCAAGAATCAACGAATGAATGCATCAATAAGTGGAACAACAAAATCAGTATTTCTCTTTTTCTTTCTCCCTTCCTCCCTCTCTCTAAAACCAATAGCTACAAATTGAAAAAAAAAAACCAAACCCTATTCTTATCTTAAAAAAATGGATCCCTGACATTAGGTGCCAGGGAAGTGGCTTTGCCTTCACTGCGCACGTTCCAGCCTTCCTGGTCTCTGCCCTCACGTGGCCGCCCTTCTCAGCAGTTTTGGCCCCGTGAAGACACGCACTCCTTCTTTTCTTGGAGAGAGGCTGTTAATTTCTGTCTTTGACACTGTGACCACCTCACGGCGTTCTGGCCAGCCCTGCCCTGAGAAACCTGGGAGTCTCTCACCTGGGGAGGTGGTTGGACTGAAATCGTGCTGCATGCAGGTAAGACAAAGACGAGTCAGCCCAGGCCAGGCCAGGTGGGGCGGGCAGAGGGGCTTCAGAGGAGGAGGGTGTGTTGGTCTCACCCGGAGAGACAATGCCCCGCCCATAGATAGATAGTCAGTATTTGTTGAATAGATGAGTGGCTGATGGATGCGTTAGAGACTCAGGTGTAAGCACGGACGCACGTGACTCACACAGGTGAATCACGTAGGAGCTGGCAGCTTTCACCCTCAGAGACGAGGCTGAGTGAACTCTGACAGCAGAGAAGCTGAGGGAGCGGAAAGAGCGGGCCCGGTGTGTGCAATGCTTCCTGGTCAGGCCAACACCCAAGTGGATCTAAGTTTAAACCAGAGAGGAACTGGGTCACAGAAATAGAAAACAATAGATTTCCCCAAGACCAGGAACCAGGACACCAAGCAAAGGACGGCAAAGGAGGGCAAAGGAGGAAAGAAACAGCCTTCAGATTAGTCCTGTGATCAGAAGTCCAGATCAAAGACCAGGCAGGAGGTGTCTAGCCTGACCTCACAGAGCTGGGGGCCTCCGTGGGCAGTTTGGAGCGGGGCGAGACTGGAAGCCCACCTGGGCCCTGGGAACCCAGCTGCACAGAACCCAGCTGCTCCACCACTGGGGCCAAAAACCCGCACAATGACTGGACTTCCTCCGCCCAAGCTGGCTTTTGTTCTTTGGCTGGTTTGGTTTGCATATATTCCCTGGAGTAGTCCTGCGACCTGGGGAGGCCAACTTCAGGTGCACCAGCTCCACTATCATCAGCTTCCTCTTCTCTAGGGCCCGGCTTCTTAACGAAGCTCAGAAATGGGGACCCTTGTTGGGTAGGCGGTAGTACGGAAAGGGAAGGGGAGAGGCCAATCCGGCAAAAGGCCATGTTCGCTCTGGCCCCTCTCACCTCTGAAAGATCCCGGTAACAAAAAGCCTCCTCCCGCCTTGCTTGGAATCACTTGGATTTTAGTTTCAATGTTCTTTGAATAAACTACACAATAAAAGTATTCTCAAGGTTAGACCAAATCTCATTGGCTATATCTGAATTGCAATAAATGTTTGTTTGAGTTAACAAGCATTCATTCAAACAATGAGGATTAATGTTCTAAGAGGTGTTTACGCTACATTCAAGGCCATGCCGTTCTCCATCGGGGAGCTGGTTTCTAAATGAGGTTCAGGTAACCTCTTTTTGGTTGGTATTGTATTGCCACTGAGAGTTTCTAATGCAATGGCTTTGAGGCAAAGCTGGGAGAAAAAATGCCAGCTTCGCTAATATTTAGTGTCATAAAATTTTGGCTATGGGGTAAGCTCTTAATTACTCTGGATCCATAATTATCTTAATAAAAGTTTGATGATAAGCTTTAAGAAAACTGGCTGTTTTGTAGCCCTGGCTGGCGTAGCTCAGTGGATTGAACATGGGCTGCAAATGAAAGCATCGCAGGTTCGATTCCCAGTCAGGGTACATGCCTGGGTTGCAGGCCACAGCACCCAGCAACCGCACATTGATGTCTATCTCTCTCTCTCTTTCTCCCTCCCTTCCCTCTCTAAAAATAAATAAATAAAATCTTAAAAAAAGAAAACTGGCTGTTGAACATCTGTAAATCTCCCTAACTGGTACAGAGGGACCATGAAGAGAGTGGATTGGAAACGGGCGGAGGTTCAGAGGTGGGAGAAAGGGGTCAGGGAGAGGGCGGGGTCTCCTGAGGATGCTCCCAGGGAGGTCAGAGGGGCCTGGAGGGGCAGACATCTCTGAGTTCAGGGTCGAGTTCTGCAGCTTGTTGATGTGAAATTTTGAACTAGTTCCCACCTCTGCTCCTCTTTTCCTATCCGTAAAATCTGAGAAATCATACCGAGTCAACATGTTGTGAGGATTAAATGACATAAAGACAAGCAAAGCCCCTAACGTAGTGGTTGCTAAAGAAACAGAGCCTGGAATTATTTCCCTCCGGAAAGTCAGAGCAGGCCGCCGCCGGGAGCCGGAGGCGTTTGGCAGAAAGGGAGTGGCCCTTCGCGGGGAAGCCGGCGGGGAGTCGGGCGGGCGGCTCCTGCGTGAGCAGTTGTTCAGGGGAGCAGGGTCTTTGTGCCAGCACTGTTCACATTCCGCCAGGTTCTAGAAAGACTAGTGTGCTAGTCAGGCACTTTCCTTAGGCTTTGCGCCCTTAGAGGGCAAGGACTGTATCTGGGGTTGCTTGGGCCCCCGGGGCTGGCATACAGTGGCACTTATTAAACGTTTGTTGAGTTGCGTTGACAGCAGAAGCAGGGCCCCTTACTGGTGTGGCCAAAACGAAATGTGAGCACAGCGTAAGGAAAAGCTGAGGCCAGTGACTCCTGGCGGGGCGCTTTGGTGGTGGGCGCCCCCTAGGACGGGGGAATCCATGCTGAGGTTGGGGTGCTAACTATGCCTGTTTTCAAGGCCCCAGGCCACACTCCCACCCCACCCCCACTCCTGGCTCCTCCTCCCACCCGCGCCAGGCTGGGTCTGTCCTCCCCATCCTTACCCTGCTTCTTTTTGGCCTTCCATGCCTCTGCGGGGGCCCCAGAAAGGCGTGGGGAAGAGAGCCCCCTGCGGCCGCTGAGGCTGTCTGAACTGGCCCAGGGGCTGGAGAGCCGTGCCAGCTGGGCTGGGTGATGCCTGAGAGCTGAGGTCTGGGGGCTTGGTCTGGCTGGAGGGCTGGCGGGCACCTCGGCGATGAGTGAGCCGTAGAAAGTTCTGGTGTCGGGAAGCAGGGGCACACCAGGGCTGCGGGGATCCCAGGAGATCACTGCCATACGAAGGACAGGAGGCTAATATTACAGTGAACTCATCCTGCCCCTCCCCCGCCCCCCCAGCCGTGGGGTGCCTGCTCCACCGCCGGCCCCGCCCCCAATGGGCAGGCTCACGGGAGCGGCGACGGTCTAGCGGGTCCCGCGGGTCCACTCCCAGCCTGCTGCTAAGGCTGCTGCTGCTGCTCAGGTCCCGGGAGCCAGAGGTGGACCGCCAGGTGTCCGCCAGCCAGGGGGAGTCACTGTGGTCCATCCTGTGGTGGTGGGGTGGGTGGGGGGCATGAGAAATGGGGCGAAGTGAGAACCAGAGGGTAGTTGGAGGGGTGAGGGGATGGTGGTAGAGGCTTTATTCTGCCTACTTTTCCGCCCTCCCGACTCCTTAAAACCTCTGACCCAATGCCCCTAACTCAGTGTCCTTCGCTGTCCTGGAATCAGAGGACGTCCAGGCTGCCCAGAGCTAGGAGGTACTGAAGAGGAACAGCTGTGCGCCAGGATGAACAGAACATGTATCGGGAGCCAGACAAACCCAGTTTGAAAATGCCCAACCGCTGCCGCCCAGTTGCACAGCCCTGGGACTAAGCCTGTCGGCTCCTCTAAGCCCCAGTTTCTGCATCTGTAGAAGCAACAATAGGCCTTCCATATACGGTTAATGCTGCGAGCTGGAAGGAAATGTGAGATCTGTCGCTGGCCGAGCAGGAGCTCACTACGTGAAGGTTCGCCTCTACCTCTAGTGTCTTCCCTTTGGACGGGTGCGGGGCATGCTGGTTGCCTGAGTGGTCTTTCAACAACGGGGATCAGAGCAAAGCACTTCTCTGCCTGAAACCTTCAGTGGCTCCCATTTACCCAGAGAGAGCCCGGCTGCCTAGCGTGGCTCCAGCATCCTTGCTGGTCTGCCTTCCAGCTCCCCAGCCTTATCCTTTGCTCTGACCTGTCTCGCACACTACAGCCCAGCCAGACCAAACGGCTTTTCTTTCCTTGGGAACGCAGAGGCTGTTTCTGGCTGCCCTCTTTGGCCTTCTCCTTCTTACTGTCTGGGTACGTGTGACATCTTTCTCCCCTATTTCCCCACCCTCATCTCCTCCATGTGTCTTGTATATGCTATGCACTTCCAGCTGCGGCTGCATTTGTACGCCAGCATGGACATCTCTGTCTGGACTGAGTTCCTGGCGGATGGAGACTGTTCATAAGGAATGAATGACTCTCCCTCAAGGACAGGGATAAAGTCCCAGGGCGGAAGGGCAGAGAAAGTTCAGGGCAGAGCAGACAGAGTCCAGGGGTCACTAACGAGAAAGGCCAGTGAGCACAGAACAATGCAGGAACACGGTGCTAGCTTGGGATCTTGCTCTGAGCTGAGAAACTGACAGCAAAATGCCCTGGCACATAGTAGGTGCTCAAGGAACATCTGTTGAAAGGTGCAGACCTGGGACGTGAAACATCCCAGAGGAAATCTAATGAGAACAAGAGCAGGAGGATGTGGGCAGATGAAATGGTTATTTAGTGCAAAGCTCAACCAGCAGGATTAGAAAGGATGCTTTCTTCCTCAGCATTTTGTCTCATGCCCTCAGGCTCTCTCTGGCAGCCAGTCACACTTGGGGCAGAAGCACCTGCAACTCCCAGTTACTGAGAACAAGGATCAGGAATCTATGCTGTAGGGGCAGAGTTCCCTCTCCCAGAACGGGCAGGTGGGTGGGCTATCATGAAGGAAAGACGGCTCTCTGGGTTGAGTGGTTTACTGAGAGCAAAGGCACTGCTCGTGAACACCGAGTGGACACAGAAAGTCAGAAATTAGGCTGGTTCTCCCATGCTGGGGACTCTCCACCCAGGAGACGAGCCAGCAGGGAAAGTAGTCAGTGCGTTAGTGAGACAGAGGCTGGCGACACGAGCACTGGATTAGAGTTCAGAAGGCCAGGTGCATGGCCTTGGGCAAAGTCACTGAAGTCCATGACTCTCAGTTTACTCTCCTGTGCAGTGGGGTGACACCAACATTGTTGAAAGAGGAAACAAGCCTCACTCGGAGTTGAGGAGAGATCCAGGGGCGAGGACCCCACACTGCTTGGATTCCGTCCACTTCTCTGTCTTAGCTCCACTACCCCTTGTCCCCCGCCCTCCCTCACCTTGGCCACACCCCTGTCACCTCTCACCTGTGTTTTAGGATGGCGTCCTCACTGGTGTATCTGTACAGACCTGAGAGAGGGCAGGAAGAAGGCTAAGTCCAGAGTCCCCAGCATCAGGCTGGAGAACTTACCCCCCACAGTGCTCTGACGGGACAACAGGGAGTCCACTTCACGGTCTCACCTGGGCCCAGGTGCACCCCAGCTCGGCGCCGGCGGTGCACACACACAGTGATGCCCAGCAGCAGCAGCCAGAGCATGACACCCCCGGTGGCAATGACCTCTGGACGCCTCAAGGTGGCTCTTAGGTGCTCGAAGCTCCACGGATTCCAGGCGTCACTGGGTTCTTGGGCAGCTTGCTCCATGGCCTGCTCTGTATGGGATGGGAGCTCAGGGGTAGGGGCAGGGGAGGCGCTGGGGGTCGGGCAGAGAAGGGAGAGGGGCTGGAAGTGGGAGGTGGGAGCAGGAAGAAAGGAAGGTGGGGATTGAGGCCGAGGGATGCAGGGGGGACCTGTGGATGCTGCCCTCACCTAAAATGAGGCAGACAGGGCTGCTGGGCTCCCCAGCCCCAGCCCCAGTGACTGCGGCCACCTGCACACAGTAGGAGCCTGGCGACTGGGTGGCAATCTCCAGCTGGGTCTGCTCGCCTGCCAGTGTCCAGTTGGTTGGGGGCAATGAGGTGTTGCCCAGGCTCCATACCTGAGGACAAGAAGGGGGAGTGAGCAGCGCCCCCAGGTCACCATCCCAGCTGCTGACCCCGGCCTCTGTGGATCGGACTCTGGGCTGGTGGCCACCTGCTTGCTGTTTACCAGGGGATGCTCCCCTATCCACCACACCCACACTTTTATTCCTGTCCTGTGCCCTACATTTCTGACTTTACCCTCACTGTCCACATCTGTAAGTTGGGGATACGAGCCCAGGCAGACTGAGATGCAATGTAATCAGGTTGGTAACCGATTGGCAGCGTCTGGCAGACACATTTAGCAGCAGGAAGTGTCCCTTGCTTCTCGGCACAAGTGCCTTTCTCAGTGCCCAGTGCAAGGGCATGCAGGATGCCAGGGGAGAGGGAGGTGCCACCACCGCTAGGAAGGAGTGTGTCAGCCTGTGGTCGTACCTGGTAGCCACGGATGAGGCCATTGTGGCTTTCAGCTGGTGGTGGCACCCAGTTCACAAGGATGCTGCCATTTCCAGGTTTGAGGGTCACCTCCTGAGGAGGGGCACTGGGCACTGGGGAGAGGGAGAGAGGCCTTTAGGAATGCTGAGGGAGAGGACTCGGGGAAAGAGCTGGGATGGGGACACAGGGCCAGAGGTCACACTGATGACAATGAGACCTCTGCTCGCCTGACCAGAGCAGAAGGGAGTCCTGGAGCAGGACCCACCATCCCCCCCGCCTGGAGAGGGACAGTCTTCCAGGGGCCCCAGACAAGAAGGGGCCAGAGGGTCTATTACAGGGTCCCGGGGCAGCTGTCCCTGACCTTGTTCGGGCAGCCTCAGGAGCAGCACGTTGCTGTCGGGGCCTTGAGCCCGGCCAGAGGATGGCCTCACCTTGAACTCGTAGTCTTGGCCCCAGTGGAGGCCCCTCAGCTCCGCGCTCTGCCAGCCCGCCAGCAGGGCCTCTGCCCACGGGGCCGCCTGGCCTCCGGGCACGGTCTGGGCCCTGAACAGTGCTGTGTAGGACTGAGCAGGTGCAGCGGGGCCACTCACCTGGGAAAGTGTCCGGAGAAAGGGGAGGGGCTCAGGGACTCGTGGCCAGTCCTTTCTTGAGCCCCGGCCTGGCTCCCACCTCTAGGTCCTGGGCCTCACCTTCCAGCTGAGCCACACAGCAGGCCCAGCCTTGGTGCCCTTTGAGGGGTCCCGGTTCAGCAGGGTCACGTTTTCTAGGTGAATGCGCACAGCCAGAAGCTCCACGGGCTCCCGGTAGCCCTGAGGCTCTGTGGGAGAACGAGGCTGGGGTGGGTCTACAGGCCCAAGTGAAGGCGTGAGGAGCAGAGCACCCCTTGGCCACTGAGGAACCCAAACCCCTGTCTCCCGGGACGAGAGCACGGCTATGTCTACTTTAGGCTGGGGAAGCCTCCTCTGCAGTGGGGTCTGCACCGCTCGGATGCTGACCCCAGCGTGAGTCCCACATACCCCGGCCTCAGCCCCAACCAGACCACACCGAACTAACTGAACTGCCCCTCCCACCCTCGCCACACCAGCCCTGATGTTAGCTACCCTCCCTTACCCCGAACCGTCACCCTGGCTGCCCGGCTCTCCCGCCGTCCTGCGTCGTTGGTGGCCATGCACATATAGGTCCCTTCATCACTCTTCTCTGCTCTAAGCATCATCAGGGAACCCCTGGACACCTGTCAGGGCCAGGTGCGTTGTGAGTCCCCCACGTGGGGAGGGGCTCTGTCTGGGGAGGGAAGCTTAAGGTCTCACTGCCTTCCTTTCCCAAATGCTGCAGGGGCCTCGAGGCCGGAAGGGGGGTCGGTCCCTGGGATTGTGCCCGGGAGTGCCCAGGACAGGAGGAGGTGTGGGGAAGGGAGCCACACTGACCGAGTGCCGCCCCGACTGGAGGGCCAGTGGTTTTCCATCCTTCCACCATGAGACTGTGGGCTCAGGGTGGCCCCAGGGTGGCCCGCACTTCAGGATCACCTGCTCACCCACCGTGGCCACCGTGTCCTGAGGCTGGGTCTGGAAATCCTCCTGAAGGACTGTGGGGAGGACAGAGGCTCTGCAGGGACTGTGTCCAGTCCTCCCTTCCCCAGAGGTCCCCCCTCGGTGTCTCCTGCCACACCTGCCCCGATCAGACTTGTGTGCATTCTCAGAGCCCCGCCTCCCAGGGGTTCCACCAGGGTTTGTCCCATCCCAGCTCTCCCAGCTGTGCCCCACACTGGCCTCCCCTCCCAGGCCTTACCAGGCACAGACAGCCGGGCACCGCGGCTCACAGCTGTGCCCAGCCGGTTGCTGGCCTCGCATGTGTAGATGCCCAGGACTGTGGAGAGGGCCTGGCTGTCGTGGGCACGTTTCCGGGCTGGGGGCTGCCACAGCAACAGAGTTCCATCGGAGAGGAGGTTGTGTACTTCTGGGGGCTCCACACTCAGGGGCTGCCCGTTCAGCAGCCAGCGGATGGTGGGAGGCGGCTGGCCTGAGGCTCGGCAGGTCATCTTAGTGGGGCCGGGGTCCTGGAGCAGCTGGTCCTGCGGGTGGACTAGGATCTGGGGTGGGGAGTCCTGGGCCATGCCTCCTGGAAGGGAAAGGGAGGAGGGGCCTGGTCTGACTGCCAACGCCAGCCCCACCCGCCCCCAAATACCTCATCTGCCCTCTCTCATCTGAGGGTCAATTCCCAAATAACAGTCTAGCTGAAAGAGGAGTGGGAGTTTTGAACTCTCAATCTGTCTGTCTCTCTGTCTTGCACACACACACACACACACCCTCCTCCTCCTCCTCCTCCTCCTCTCTGGTGCCCCTACAGCAAAGGGAAGGCAAAGGGGCAAGGGGGCCGCTTCTTCCCTGGCCAGGCCGTGGATCAAGGGACCGGGGCTAGGAGAGGGGACGGCCACACTCACCCGTGCCGAGCAGAAGCAGGAGAGACAGCGGCCACTGGGCCCCGAGGAGGCCCGCCCCTCCAGAGCCCATGGCGGCTCTCAGGTCTCTGTCCTGGTCACCAGCACTTTGTCCTGCTGCTCTGAGCTCACAGCCAGGGAAGGAGGGGCAGGCCGGCCAGTGGTGGGTGTTTGCGGCTGAGACTGCCCAGGAGGGAAGCAGCTTTGAGGAAACCGATGCTTCCTGCCTGGCCCTCGGTGCCTTGAAGAACTGGGAGGAGCCCAGAGGAGAGAGACTCTCTGACCTTGACCCTCTAGCCATAACCCCTGACTCCAACCCCAGCTCTACGGGTTACCTGGTGACCTAGTCTGGGATTTCTTCTCTTTCTCTTTCTTTTTTCTTGTTTGATTTTATTTACTTATTTTTAAAGAGCAGGGAAAGGAGAGATAAAAATATCAATCGGCTGCTTCTTATATGTGCCCCCACTGGGGACTGAACCCACAACACAGGGACGTGCCCTGACCAGGAATTGATCCGATGCCCTTTCGCTTTGTGGGACAATGCCCAAACCACTGAGTCACACCGGTGAGGGCTAGTCTGGGATTTCTTAAAGGTAATCCTCACACTGACCAAAACTCTAACCACAGCCGTGATCCTTAAACCCTAAGCTTCTATTTAAACCTTGAATCCCCACCCTTATCCCTTTGCTTCCGAGTGACCCTTGCTAGAGTGGAACAGAAACCCAGAGGTGGGCTCTGGGCGCAGCGCAAAGGAGTAAGGGCAGAGGAAAGTGGGCTGTGAGCTGAGGAAACGAGTCGGGTGGAGCAGTCGTTGCTCGGTCCACTCCCCAGGGATAGATGGGGCTGGGGTGGGCGTGGGACAGGAGGCAGGGCGGATTCAGAGGCTCTGGACAAGCTGGAGAGGGCCACTGTGTGCTCCTCTTCAGTGTGGAGACAGGTGAAATAAGCTTCTGGGAGACCTTGGGCACCTTCCTTAACCCCCACAAGTCACTTTCCTTACCTGCAAGTGGGAATAATACCTGTAGTGTGTTTCTTGATGGCCAGAATAAGAATGAAGTGAGATAAAACATAACTCACTTAGTGCACTCACCTAATGCATTGTAAGTGATCAGTGAGTTTAACTGGTATTGTTATTTTCATGCACGCTCCATCACTGAAGCTATTCAAGCATCCTCGGCAGGGACACTTTTCAGGACCTGGGGTGGTGGTTGGAGTCAACGATCTCGAAGAGTCTTTCCAGCCCTGAAACCTCGTGTCTGCTGCAGACGGGCCTGCAGCCTCTGAGCTCGTGCGATGTCGGTGCTCGCGCCAGCCCCCTCCATAGAGAGAGGCTGCATTCTCTTCTCGGAGCCCACCTCCTGTTTACAGGTCTCTTCCTCCCGAATCTGGAATCTCAGCCATTTCCTGGAGCTGTTCCCGGAAAGCCAAGGCTGGGCTCTGGGGGCTCAAAGGAAGGCTGTCCAGCCTTTGTTTCCAATTGTTCCTGGCCGGCTCCTCTGAGGGGCCCCTAACCCAGCTGACTCCCTCCCTTCCTCCCCCTTCCCAGCCTGGCCTCACTACCAGCCACAGCCACAGCCCTAACAGCCTATCAGAGGGTTGCGAAAGCCCCCTTTACAACTCCTCTTTCCCCCTCAAATGCAGACCAAGACTGATTAAGACAATTCAAGCAAGAGAACAACCTGGTTTCAACAACCTGTGCACTTCCGAGGGGTGGAGAATAGAATGAAAGTAACAGAGCGACAGAGCTGGAAGGATAGGAATCGGGGTCAGGGAATAAGCCTGGTATTTCAGAGGTGGAGGAGCTAAGGGCAGTGACACAGTCCACGGCATGAGTGCCAGGCAGAGTGGAGTAGGCGTACAGGGCCGCAGATCTGCGGAGCCAGGGCAACGAAATGGGGTGTTCGTGTGGACACTGAAGTCGGCCAAGGACGTGGTGAGACAGATGGATTTACTGCACACACTGCCAGCTGCCATGTCCCGGATGCAGAGCCCCGAAGGCTGCCTGGCCCCAACTGCTTGCTCCCCAGGAATGTTGCAGTCCGAGGTCCCTCATTAGTCTCTTCTGCTTCTGTGCTGGACTTGCAGAGATGAACCAAGTCTCTGCTAACGATCTGATGCCAACTTGATTTTACTCAAATGTGTATACTCCAGAAAGATGGTGTAAACTTCCCTCAGGGGAAAAGATGGCAAGTGCCAAAGGAATTCAGATTCATGGCCGTCCCTGTCCTCAGCTGAGTGAGAATGGACAGGTGATGCAGCACGGAGAGGTGCCAGGGCGGTAGTGCAGGAACAGAGCCCCAGAGGCTACAGCAGCCTGAGCGACAGCCCCACAGTCCCGGCCTCATCCCTGGAGATCGCCTGCTTTGCACTGCATTGCTTTTCACACCACTGCATTCCGCTGCGTTGTATTGCATCGCATTGCATTCCATGACTTTGCATTCCCCTGCATTCCACTCCACTGCAGTCCATGCCAGCCTCTCCATCCCCAGGCTCTGGGGTGCTAAGAACCACTGGGGATGGAAGGGGCCAATTACTCTGAGCTATTTCTGTAGCACATTAGGGCTCCTTCCCCTTGCTTGGTTCAAGCATCGAAGGCACTCAGGGATCCAGGGAGTGATGGCCAAGGGGACTCCCCAACAGTAAGGTGAGTCTGGATAGATCCCAGAGACCACAGCGCTCATTTCCAACATCCTGCCTGTTTCATTTCCACGCAGTGAGGAACAGCTGACTGCATGAGTCAAACGGAAACTTCGTCAATGGGAGTTGCCTTCAGTCTCAAGGAAGCTCTGCCCTTGCCCAGGTGACGTGCTGACCCAGTGACCAGCCGAGAGAGTGCCTTGTGTTGCCCTCTGGTCTTAAAGTTTATGTTTTGTGAGTAACTCACAGTTGCTTGTAAGAGGGGAGGGCGAGGACAGGGATGGAGTGCCCTTCCAAAGGACCTTCCAGAGGAAATTTTTCCACCCCTGGCTCCTGCCTTCTTGTTTCGTGTTCTCTGAAGAGACAGCCAGGGATGTCTGCTGGCTGAGCTGATGGGGTAAAAGGCGAGAATTCAGGGGGGACTGAAGCCAGTTCTACTGGGTTAGGATCCTGCAACTACAGGCAGAGACCTTGAATAAGTCACCTAACCTCTCTGAGCCCCACTTTCCTTGCCTGGGAATGTCTGTACGAACCCGTAACCTTTTGGTGGACAGGACGACGCTCCGACCACCTGAGCCGCCCAGCTGGGGCTCTCCGTTCTGATTTTAAAGAAAATCTCTACACCAGAGTCAAAACTATTCTGACATATTGTCTTCCTAAAGTTTAAATTTTCACATGAAGCCTTTGATCTATCACTAACTGATTATTTTATATGGCTTGAAGTAGGGATACATTTTTTTCCAGGTAGAAACCAAGGATTCCAGAACTACTTATTGCTTAGCACCAGTGCCTGGTAATGACTTCTTGGTCACACATCAAATATTCATATAAGTCTAGCTTGTTTCCCTGGCCTATTTGTTCCTGCACGAACACTACAGGATCTCAGTTACTAGAGCTGTATAATAAGTTTTGATGTTGTGGTATAAGCTGTTGGGAACCGCCCTGCCTGGTGTCAGGAGCTGTAACCCCCCATGGCTAAGGCTGAGTGGGAGACCTCTGGGCCAGGAGACACTAAGGAGACAAGTTTATCTCCCTGGCAGGAGTGTTGTCTGCTCCTTGCCTGGGCCCCATTGCTTGGTCAGTTAGCCAACGATGGGTAACATTCCTCAGAGGAGGATGGACCTAAGCCAGGCACGATCACGTGGAAAGGCCCTCAGGGAAAGACTCAGGGGGATGTGGAAAAGAGGGGGTGCTCCACCCCCAGCCCCCAGCTTTGAAAAAGCCTGAGTCCTCATTCTGCCTTCGAGACATCCAAATCTCCCGGCTGCCTTTGTCTCCTCTGCCCGACTCAAGCCTGTGACAAGGGGTGGTGCAATCCACACTGGGGATTGTGAACTTCCTGGGATGATCAGACTTGAAAAAGGAATATGTAAAATCCTGTGAAACCTGCTTACTGAGGATGCTCTTAATTAGATTATGACTGCCCGGGCAGGAAATGAATTTAGCCTCTTAAGTTCTGTAGTTTTTTAGGTGATAAGACCCAAACTCAGTGTGAGCCCTTTGAACATTATCTATCTGTTTGATCCTCATTGCTAGACAATGGTTAATAAGCTGTATCCGTGTTCCTACCCAAAACTACCTAATAAAAAGCCTGTTCAGGCAGCAGCTCGGGGTGCTCTCCCTCCGTTAGAGAGAGAGGCTGTTCCATCCCTATTCCCCCACAGGACTCGGTAGTCTGTGTGTATTTCTCTCATATTTTGAGCATTCGTAGTGGCAGGGGATACTGCTGGTCAGTATTTGCCATAACAAGCCACAACAGTGTTTTTTCTTTTTCTTTTTCTTTCTTTTTTTTTTTTTGTAAAGCAAGTGCCTTCCTGAAGCTTTGATTTCCAAGGCATCTGTTTCAGAGTGGCATCCACTTCAGTGGAGGCTTTCTTAAATAAACACATTGCCGGCCACAGCTTAGACAAAGGGCCAGGCTGCCTCCCCAAGCTGAGTTTTTTTTTGTTTCAGAGATCTTGACTGATTTCAATAACTGACCATTTTGGGACGCTTGTTGATTTTTTTTCTTCCCTGCTTTAAATTCCCTCTCTCATGTTTTAAACTCACCAGTCAAGAGTGAGCCCTGGTAGCCCTGGACCCACAACCTGGCTGTGTGGTCCTGGGTGGGCTGTGTGATTCCCAGGCCCTGGTCATAATGACCTTTATTTTTTCAAAGTTTCCTGGTGGCTTTTGCCGGAGGTCATCTTGCAATCGTAATAAGAACCGCAAAGCTGGGTCCAGCCACCACATCGGTTCCTGATACTCTGAGGGCAACACAAAACAGGTGTCCGGTGGCTGATCCCTGCCCCCTTCTTTTCCAGCAGGGTCTTGGCTATATTTGTGCCTTTCAGCCTGTCAAGTTTCTTGAAAAGCTTGTAGAATTGACTGAACACATAGAAATAACCGACACTGTGTAACATGAACTCTTCCTACTCACGGACCTGCATACCTCCTTCTTTATTCAGGCATCTTTGATGCCTTTTGATAAAGTTTTTTTTTTAAGTTAA